AGCAGGTAAGGTAGCTGGATATGACAGTGGTGGCAGGCCTGCTGTACACCTTGTTTAATTTATGTTGGGAATTGAAGCGGGTACAGGAAGATTGGTGTAAAACAGTTGTAGTCCCAATATGTAAAGGAAAAGGGTCACAGTAGGACTGTAAAAGCAACCGTGGTATTAGCTTGCTTAGTATTGTGGGTAAACTGTATGCTAAGGTTTTAATTGAAAGAGTTATGAAAGAAACTGATGGAAAATTTTGGTATGTGCAAGCGGGATTTAGAGAGGGAACAGAATGTACAGATCAAGTATTTTCAATGTGCACGATTGCGGATAAGTTTTTAGCCAAAAACCAGAAAGTTTTTTGTGCGTTCATGGACCTGGAAAAGGCTTATAACAGAGTGGACAGGACTGTGTTATATTAAACACTGTTCTCATTTGGGTTGAGCGCTGGTTTGATACAGGCATAAAGGTCTCTTTATAGGGACTCTATCTAGTGCTTGTGTCAGGATCAACGGGGTCTACTTGGACTGGTTTGCCATAACAAAAGGTGTCAGACAGGGCTGTGTAGCTTCCCCGTGGCTGTCAAACCTATTTATGGACAGTTGTTTTCAAACTTTAAAACGTAAAGAATGTGGGTTAAGAATGGGCGAGTAAACCGTCAAATGTCTTTTGTACGCCAACTGATGGTTACATTAATGAATTGGTCATTAAAAGAAAGGAGAATGAAAGTAAACGGAAGTAAGATGAAAGTGATGGTTTAAAAAAAAGAAAGTGAAACGTTATGTGAAATAAGAATAGTTGATTGAGCAAGTGGATAAGTTCGTGTATTTAGCAGGGACAGTAGATATGATAAGGATATATTATAGAACGACGAGTGAATGCAGGAAATAGAGGGAATAGGGCTTCTACGCTCTATTATGAAAAGTTAGAATGTGTCAAAAAGTGCACATAATTCATAATGCTGTGTTAATTCCTACTTTAATGTATCGTAGTGAAAGTTGGGTGTGGCAGAAGAAGCATGCAAGTAGAATAAATGCTGTAGTATTTCGGTCTTTAAGGAGTATGCTAGGACTGAATCTGGTAAGTGATAAGTGAAAAATGTGGTGTACAAGGTGATGTTGTGACCAGGATTAAGAAAGGAATGCTACGGTGGTTTGGTCATGTAGAAAGAATAAACGAGGAAAGAGTAACAAAGCAAATTTATATTGCAGATGTGAACGGCAGAGTCGGGATGGGACGCCCTATATGAAGGTTTATCGACTAAATTGGAAATATTTTGAAAATGGGCCACATTAGGAGTACACTTACCTGACGAGCGTGTATGCATAAATATATGGATGTAAAATAGGCAACTGAGGTATGTCAGGATCGTTCCAAATGGAAGTCGGTAGTCTCTGCGTACCCCTCTGAGTAAAAGGCGTGGGTGTTTATGAAAGTATGTATGTATGTATGGTAAAGTTAAAAATTTTGTACAACCGATTTCATTATAAATAAAATGAGAACATTATCAATGTAGTCGAAGTTAATTAAATACATTGTTAAGGATAACTCAAAACTACTGGTCAGATCTTGATCAAATTTTACCACAAGAGCAGCAGCACCAGCTTTCAAATAAAAAAAATCTTCAAAAACCTGGAAAAAAGTTATAGAGGTAACACACCTAAAAACATACAGTCGAATTGAGTATCTCCTCCTTTTTAAGCCGGTTAAAAATAAATAATATTACAACAGAAAAATTGGATGCAGTAATAATATGAGTTAAATGACCCATAAGTGTTTGCCTAATCTTTAATCCAGAGCTTAACCTATCTCATTAACAGTACCTACGTTCAAATATTGAAATAATACGGACGCCAACGAATGTTAACTTTTTTTTACAAAATATAGTTATTAAATAACATCCGACAGTACAAATAAACTTTCATAAGCTTTTCCATGTACCACCGATTCGTAGCTTCGGCCATCGGTTCGCGTGGTGACAACTTCCTTAATGACGTACGTACACGGTGTGACAAAATGGCAACATGTTTTTTTTACTAGATGTGTACCAAAGCAAAGCAAAACATAGTTAGTGAGTATGATAAATAAAATTAGCAAATGAGATGATAATGTTACGATTGTGTGTACCTATGCATATATTTATTAGTAGATTTGTATTTGTGTATATTATCTGTGTTAGTAGATATAGTTTTATATTTAGTATAAATTATTAAGGGGTGTCGTTTTATATAGGCTTAAACAGTATTTTTTCTATAAAATACTGTTTAAGCCTATATTTAATATTTTTTATAGTTAGTTCATTTTTTATTGGTTTTGGAATCTTGTGCAAAAAACCGGGAACTTGATATTGTAACCCAAATTTTCCATACATATTTTAATATTTTGGTATAGTCATATATGGATTAAGGGCTTGTCGCGTAAGCTTTGTATAGATACGATACATTTTTAATTCTTCCTTGTTATAATTTTCAAGCAGTAGTTGGTATTTCACTTTTTCATGTACTGGTAGTATTTTGCATCATTGCATATGGAAAAGACCATAAGGAATTTTTTTATTTATCTTTGATTTTGAGAGGGGTTATATACATTTAAGGATGCGCAATTGTAGCTCGTATATTTTTTCAAGGCGGGTTTTATATGTGCGTCCATATATTATATGTAGCTTCTTAATCCAAACGAAACTATTGATTTGCCGAATGCTTTATATAGTTACAGTAGCATCTGGTACGGGGCCATCCATTAAACACGTGAGGCTCGAAAGGGGGAGAGGTTTTACAAAAATCACAAGAGGGAGTGGGGTGTAGTAAGATTATCACGTGTATTTATTTTTTCATCAAACGCGTGACTTCTAAACCGAAAAGCGGCATGTAATGTTACCTTGAATCGCCTGTACATGTAAATTCATGTCACAAGCATGAACCTAATCCGAGCAATAATAGCCTAGAGATGCACAATGTTCGTCCTTCACGCATTCCTCACGCGACGATTCTCTGTGTAGTGCGTGAAAATGATGACGCCGAGTGGCTTGATACCGACGCTGACGCTGAACTTCAACTAAGTACAGTGCCAACAACTGACTTGCAAGATGCTTATCCAGTTGTTAGTGATGTAGAAAGACTTGCTAATCCGTGGTCCGAGGACAATGCACATTAAATATGTTCATGTACTAGTACAATATGTTTTCGCATGATTACACCATTACTTTAATATTATTTTTATGTCAGTCATGTTTTTGACCTGCAATCTTTCAGTCTAGACATTTTTATTATGGTCATTAATTTCAGAATAAAACTAGATTATACTTTATTGTATTTATTTCGCTAGTATTGGTCGTAGCTTATCACATACAGATTCAATGTGATCGGGGCATTTCATACGGTCATCGATTATTAAATCTAAATACCTACATTTTTCTACCACTTCTTCAATATGGGGACATTCACAGTTGTTAATTTGAGTTAAACTTTGGATATTATGAAGACATGTATGATTAAGTAATGTTATGTTTAAATCTATTTTGACTCGAGCTAACGTATATTATTTTAGTTTTATTCGAATTAATTACAAGACGTGTATCATGTGACCACTACACGAGCCTCGTAAATTCGTCCTGTAACAGTATTACAGCCTTATTCATATTGTGGTGGCCTACTACCAGACAGGTATCGTCGGCAAATTGGAAATTTTTTTAATTTTTATCCACTTTGTTGATATTATTCACGTAAGTGATGTAGTGTAGCGGTCCTAATACAGAATCCTGTGCTGTTCCTTCACTCACCGAAACTTTATTACTTAAGATATCCCCTACCTTGAGATAGTAAGAACAATTTTTAAGATAGTCCCGACACCAGTCAGTACTCTAGCAGTACACTATGACGTAAAGTATCGAACGACCTGCTATAGTCAATAAATAACAGCAATACATGTTTTCTCTCATTAAGATTTTCATATACGTTATTATTAAATAGCGAAAGTAGTTACCTTGTGCTTTTTTAGGTTGAAACCCAAACTGTGTGTCATTAAGAATGTTATTTAGAACGTAAAAGTTGTAAATTTGTCTAGTAATGTATTTTTTATAATCTTATCTATTGCAGGCAATATAGTTATAGGACGGTAATTATCGTAATCCTATTTGTTTCCCTTTTTGTAAATAGGTTTCACGATTCCGTTGTATCCAAACGAGAGGTAACTGCCTGTAAGATCCATGCCCTGATAGTTATTGTGCTTTGCGTTTTTGCGACAATAGTCCGTGGTAAAGCCACGCTGTAGCTTTATTATGGTTGTAGCCTTAATGGGTCGGCTCGATTGGGGAAGGACCACGCTCTTACAGAATAGCAGCGTAAAATAGCAGCTTAATGCTGCTGTTTCGTGTGGTGAGTGTAGAGAACCGGAGACCCGTTTTACTGGAATCGAAACATTTCATCTTATTCCTTAAGGGTGACAACGAATTTGCATTTTGATTCTTAATCCTTACCATCAGGTGGACTGTGTGCTTGCTTGTCACCTCTATCCTAATAACTTTATTTAATCCTCTGATCAATCGATGGGTCTTGGGATTTGGGTCAAGTGCCATATATATGTAACGTACGTGTCACGTTGTTCGTCCGCGATGAACTACTAAACTACTGAACAGATTTCAATGAAATTTTCCATACTGTGTGCAGTTTTTCCAACTACTTCTCTTATTGTGAACTAAAGATTTTTTACAGGGAAGGCCAGCTACGAATAGTCTCTACGAAGAGCTACGGAGTTGTTTTACGCTAGCCCATGTGTACTCTTTATTCACTAACTAATGGGACGGTAATCCAGCACCACTGGAAAGAAATCAGTCGCAGGGCCAACGGATTTATGAGCTTTCCGAGACACGAAGATAAAACACCGCCAAGTACCTGGAGACTCCGGGCTGCCACTGAATATTTCTTGAGAGAAAACCCCCAATAACTGATATTAGCCCGACCCGGGACCTCATGCTCAGCAACCACGTACATACGACTATTATACGAACGAGGCAATCATAGCATAGTGTTGAACTGGAATGACACCATTCCCTGGCTTTTTGTTATTAAAATAGTCATTTCAACTGTAGTAAACTTTGGTGCATAAACACTTTATAATGTTAAAGACTTTTAATATAAAGGATTTTTTTTAACTTTTTCAAGCCAGTGCTTGATCACAATCCCACCTGATGGTAAGTGGTGATTCAGCCTTAGATGGTAAATCACACTGTCTTAGCGTTACAAATATTTCCGCAAAGTAACGCCTGCGTCTATAATTACTTTTTAATGTAACTTTTTAATTGTCTTTCGGAAAGGTATCATATCATATTGTCACATAATCTCTACTATCGAGATTATTTAAGGTACATGGCAATCATCCATTGAGACTGACTTCAAAGTTTTAATACCTACCTAATGTAATGGATATAATAAAACCTGGATAAGCTACCCCCCGTACAGAGGGGGAGACCCCCTTTAACTAATTTCGCAACTTTACGATCAACGGCGCCGTAAACTAGTCTCTACGTTTCAGACGATTTATTTTTGTGACGCATACCGTAAGTAGTGAGAATATTAAATGCAGAGGGTTTAATACGATTCTAAAACATTATTGTGATGCTTTCAGGTTTTCGAGCGGCATTCGAGTGATTTGAATAATAAAATTACGTATCAAAATAACGCTAAGATTTGGAATAAAACTAAATTTACTGATTCTATCGCGTTTAATTTTAACTTTTTTAATTTACGACATTTCGGGCACTTTCTAGCATCCATGGCCACGGAGGGGGACGGACTGAGATGTTTGACGTTTAGATGTCATCTATCATTAAATCAAATTTAATTACATCCAAACCCAAGCATACTACTGCATGACTTAAAGATACTTCGAGACGTTAAAAACCTCAGTCCCCCCACCCCCGTGACCATAGGCATTACAAAGTACCCAAAACGTCAGGAACTAAAAAACTTAAAATTAAACGCGATAGAATCCTTAAACTTAGTTTAATTCCGTGTGTATGATTCGCGTAAATATAAGAAATGTGAAACACTAAGATTATTATAATTCTGGAGGTAATATAATTTATATAGCAGAATCAAGAACCATATTTTTTAAATATGGTTCTTGATTCTGCTGTATAAATTAATTAATTAATTATGTAAGTGTAACCCATCACCAAAATCAGTGTAAGTGTAACTTATTTTAGTGATGGATTTCATGATATAAGATTCCACCCGCGGTGGAACGAACTTGGGTAAAATGTGTAATTTAAAAAATATTTGCATCTGGAATTCATATCATAAATATATTATGCTTACATATTAATTCAAAATATAAAATAATTCTTAATAATTAAAAGCTAATTGAAAGGAACTGTATGTCCTTCTTTTTCATCATCATCTTCAGTCCATAAAAGTCATTTGCTGGTCGTGGTCTTCTCCCGTTATAGGGAGAATTTACTTTAACCATCACGTTTTGCTGGTATCCCAGTATCAAACGTCTCGCAACCTTCAAGCTGCTGGCCCTCATTAGCCTGAATATTTCACTTCTCGCGTTACACCGCTATCTATCGTCGGACATAGGTTTTTATATTTTTTCTATAATCTCCCTCGTCACCACCACACGACAAGCGTGCTGAGTATGGTAGTAAGTGTTAATAATATTGCTAGTTACCAATTATTACTGATTAAGCTACAAAATTAAATTTTTATGTTCATATATAGAGGGAAAACATTACAGATTATAATGTTACCAATTGTAAAGCGATAATACATTTTAAGTTCAACCTGTATTTCATTACTTCATACTAATTTTGTCTAAATAAATTACATGTACATCGTCAAGCCTTCACAATAAAGAACTCCAAATGTAATTTAGTTAGTATTCTCTAGAGAAGCAGTAAGTCGTATGTGCGTCTTTCTCGTAATCGTATGAAAATCGCGAAAAAAAACATCATATTTATTTCAGTTCTCTGCATTAATAAATATAAAATTTTCCATTTTGTCTATGTCGTTGTTTTATGATCCCGTTCATTTTACCAGATTGACGATATTCTTAAATATCAGTGTGAAAGAAGATTTTATTAATTTATATTGAATATTGCGTGAAAAATCATTTTTGTAGTACATAATGTTATATATTCTATAGAAACAAACGTCGACTTTAATTTCTCAAAATAAAAAGTCAGGGAACAAATTTCTTCCTATTTAATATACAAATGTAAGGCTTTTCTTAAAAGTTTAACCACATTTAATTATAATATATATGTGCCGTTTTGATCGATAACTGGTGCCATCTTGTAGGTAGTGACATAATCTTGTTGCTGTAGATATCTTGATAGACCTCTCTTGATGTTAACATAACACTTACCAAAGAATTCTGAAGAGACAAAAACAGGTGCAAATCTGAGGGCGCAAGTTTAGGACTATATGGTGGATGCATTATCACTCTCAACCAAGCTGTTTTATTTTTTTCTGAGTGACCAACGGTGTAGCTTGAAAACGTCTTCCAACGCAGCAGTGAAGAGTTTCGGGGATATAACATCACCCTGTCTTACACCTCTCTGCAGTTGGATAGGTTTCGTACTCTGGTTCTGTACTCGGGTAGCCATCGTAGCCCTACTGTACAAACACTTCAGCACTTCAATATACCGACAGTCAACTAGGACACCGCTGAAGAGACTGTAGCACCGCCCAAATTTCGACGGAATCAAAGGCTTTCTCATAGTCCACATACGCCAGGCAAAGTGGCAGATTGTACTCTTCGTACTTCTGTACAATTTGCCGAAGGGTATGTATGTGGTCTATGGTACTGAAGCCTTTTCGGAAACCGGCTTGTTCGGGAGGCTGGAAGTCGTCGAGTCTGCGTGCGAGACGATTCGTAATGTCTCTCGAAAACAGCACGTAGACACGGCTCAGAATGAAAATTGGTCTGTAGTTCTTCAAGAGAGCGTTGTCGCCCTTCTTAAAGAACAAGACTACCGCGCTTCTGCTCCACGCCTCCGGAGTAGTGCCACCATGGAGGACGGAATTGAAGAGCTTCTGAAGGACTTCAAGTACCGGTGTTCCACCCGCTTTCAGAAGCTCCGCTGTAATTCCATCCTCGCCCGGGGCCTTGCCGTTTTTAAGGTGGTGGAGAGCCATTCTAATCTCGCTCAGACTGACGTCCGGGATATCATCGGAATAGTGTAGGATAAGACTTGCTCTTGGATCGTTACTCACACTTGCGTGTGGCTCCAACGATGATGTGTACAGCTGCCCATAGAACCTCTCAATCTCACTCAGAATCTCAGGTGTCCCGGAAACGATGTTGCCACACTCAGTCTTCAGCCTTGACAGTTGGCTCTTTCTGGCAGACAGATCTCTGGCAAAGACTTTGGAGCCCTGTTTCCGCTCGATCGCTTCTTTAATACGAGCAGTATTAAAGTTGCGTAAGTCCCGCCGCATGCATTTGGAGATCTGTCTGTTCAGTTGCCTGTATGCTGTCAAATCTGTTGACGATTGCAGCCTCATCTCCCGTCTAACAGCCATGAGATTAAGAGTGTGATCGGAGAGTTTTTGTGTTCTTCTGCGGCGGCTCTTGCAGAACTTAGCTCCGACCGCATGGACAGTTTCCACGAGCTTGTCATTCGTATCGTCCACTGCATTGCGTAGTGTAGGGCGACCGCCCACTAGATGGAGTGACGACCTGGTAAGACATGCAGGAAGTCGATGGATGCAGGTGGCTCAGGACCGTGCTTTGTGGCGTTACTTGGGGGAGGCCTATGTTCAGCAGTGGACTTGTGAAGGGCTGTAATGATGATGATGATGATGACCAACGGTGTGCGTGGTCTGGCGTTATCCTGATGAAAGTCCACTCCTTTTCTGTTGATCAATTCCGGTCGTTAATTCCTAATTTCTTGCTTGAGTGTCATTAGTTTATTAGCAGGTAGAGATCCGAATCGACGCTTTTTCCCGGAGGTAAAAGCTCATGTCCTTCCAGTCTCACCAAACACACAGCATCACCTTATTGCGATTTAATCCGGGTTGCGCTACAGCCTGTGGAGCTCGACTAGCCATTCGCTATGTCCAAACTAACCGCTAAAGCCTCCCCCTTGGATTTCACTGCCTATGCACATTGTGTCTTAGGTAAACAAAAAGGTCATCAGCAGAGCGGCCCCGACGGAAACCGTACTGGCAGTTACTAATCACCTGGTGCTCTTTGAGGTACCGCATGAGCTGGCAGTTCATAATGGACTCCGTTATTATCGAAGACAAGGAGGTGATAGTGATAGGCCCGTAGTTGGACGGATCAGAGAGGTTACCTTGTTTAGGGATCAGGTGCACGAAAGCTGTCTTCTATGAATTTGGGACTACGTCCAGGGAGTAGGAGTTCCGAAAAAGATGCGTCAGAACCGGTGCCAGCTTTGATGCAAGCACACGTTCTCAGCACAAATGAGGCGACTCCGTCGCCCTGTGTCTGACGGACGTGGACGTCCAGGAAAAGGAGTGCTGTGCATACTGAGCACTGTGTGAATCGCACATCAGGCAAAGAGCACTCACACTGCGGGATGATCGACGGTATATGCCCCCCGTAACATCGAGTCGAGTTGGACGCAAAAAGGGAGCCTAAAAGGTCGGCTTTCTTTTTTGCGGCGTAGGCTAGTGAGTCATTCTCTCTGTCCAGAGATAGTAGTGATGGCTTACAGAAATTACCTTAGACAACCTTGGCGAGATACCAGAATGAACGGGTTTCCGAAGGAAGGCGAACTAATTTCTCGCCAATTCTGCCAATGAGCTCATAGCTTGCCTTGGCAATTACTATTTTACAGGACCTGGTAACGAAATCATACTTTTTTTTGAGCTTGCTGGTGTTTATATCACGAGTCGCCGAAACGTCAGTCCAACCCTAACAACACTCCTGCTTATGACGTGATGCAATATTACAGAAGTGACCAAACCATGGCGGAGTTCTAACTCAGACAGGCACCACAGATGATGAATAAATGATTCCATTTCTATAGCACCATATCAGTGACAGTGTCAGTAACAGCGCTGGTATCATACGGCGAGAAGCAAACCCGCCTTCAAGGGTAGGATGAAAAAAAACATCGCATTCCATCCCAATCCACCGATCTGTAATGCTAAACACAGCGGCAGCGTGCAGAACGCAACTGTGAAGGCACCAGACCCCGGATCAGGCAATGCGCCGAGAGGGGCGTCGACGGAAACCTGATAACCGTCCAGATGAGATGTCAGCGGAAGATCCAACAGGGAAGGTGTATGTTCTTCTCCATCTGGAATCCGCGTAGCGAAGTAACCAGTTATGTCAGACCTTATGCCAAGGCAAAGTCATAAACAAATCTCCCCGCATGATCGGTTAAATGTGAAGAGTGTAGTGTGCGTTAAAGTCGTCAAGTATCACGATCTCTACGAATGGGATATGTTAATAACTCCTATTGTTTCAACATTTTTTCTTATTAAAACAGTGAATTAATATCAGATTGTAAGCATGACAGCATTTCTGAAGGTTCTTTAATATTAATATGCTGAGAAATTTCCTCAACATACAAAATACCAGAATCGAAATTAATCGTTCAGGCGCTGTCAATCAGACGTTACATGAGAGCAAGATTTGTATCGTTTGAAGATATTTAATTAAATATCTTCAAATAAGGTTTAATCTTGAATGAAACGTTAAACGGAATATTATAATGGTTTAAGTCTATTCATAACGTATAGGTACATCAAAATGCACACGCCCGAATGCTCTCTGTGACTTCACTTACAAATACATTTGTAAAATTAATTACATTGACAATTTGCTCATAATTTGCATTTTGAATAGCATTGACGTAATTTAGTTTTATTAAATGTTTATTGTGTGTAGCCGAAGACAGGTGCACATTTTAGCAGAGGTCTATGTCCAGCAATGGACTGCCGCAGGCAGATAATGATGAAAGTTAATCAATAGAATCAGGCGTTAATTTGCGGAAGCGTATTATGTTAAAGATGATAAAAATGAATTAGATAAAAATGATAACGCGGATCTTAGCCAATATATTTTAACATCCTTAATGAGTAAAGTACATATTTACGATACGATTGTTTCAAAAACGTATGACTTCGTTTGTCAAAACATGCATTAATAATATATGAGTATCTTTAGCACTAACATATACCAGGTAAGTTATTATAAATAATGTTAGAATTAGGAAAGTATTGAAATGATCTCTTGTAAAACGTAAAAAAATATCTTAAGATATTGACCGATATATTATATAATGTACTGTAAATACCTGTAGCATACGCCGGCTCGAGGTCGTCTTCGTCATCGGTGTGATGTCTACTAGAAGCGTGGGAGTGGGAGTGATGCGGTACACCCACGTGCACTGGCTGTATAGGCTGCTCATAGTGTTTGTGGTGGTCGACGTACACTCGATGGTGATGCGGACACGGCGTCGGCGGTATATAATCCGCTAACGTCCCACCGCGGGTCAACGTGGAACCGGCACTCAATGTACCACCGCCCGAACAAGACGCTAACGCACTTCGCACTGAACCTAAGTCCAGCGAAGGTCTTCGCGACAATTCACCGAAACCTTCACCGAATAGAGCACTCGCTGGCACTGCGTGTCTCACTTCATGTTGGTGATGGGAGTGACCACCGTTAGATGAAGAGTGTGGAGAGGCGGAGTGGTCGCGACTGTCACGCGACGTTGACGCGGTGTGGATGATGCTCTCGTCATGTGTCTCCATCACTTCTCTCGCCGTTGGCGGGTTCGGGTGCGAGTGAACCACTGAGGTGCCCGCTCGTCGAGGGCTCCGACCACGGTCAGGTAGGACCGAAGAAGCAGACCAATAACCCCACGCCATTTTGAATTACTGACCACACTTATCACTTTAAAATTCACAGAGCCAACTCGATATACGTTGGAAGTTAAAGAGAGGATGTTTAAAAATAGACAGAGTTAGAATATGTGGATGAAGGAGCGGGCGTACTGGGGCGAAGTAAATTATAAGAAGGTTGATTATCTAAGCGTTAATAATGAACCTTGCATCTCCCTTGACCGTAATAACCCGAGCAGCCGAATCAAGACGGCATAAGAGCTGAACGCTTGTTAAGTGCGTATGCATTAGTTTGTTTACTTATTAAAAAATAAAAAAATATTAGTTGCTTTAAAATATACATTTGGAGCCCATTTTCAGTAATTACGTTATTTTTAATAATTAACGTCGATAATTAAAGAAAAATTAAAGCTAACAAAAATCACCTGCAAGACGAGGTGAAAGAGGATCATCTAATTTCTGAAAGGGTAATTAAAATGGAACAGAATCAAAGAGAGAAATCAGATATTATGTTTGTACGATTTACGAGTATTTTACGATTCCTTATGATGTTTTCCTTCACTGTAACATTATATCGGCTCAAATTTTCATCAACATTTCAAATAAAATACATTTATTTTTTTATTTCTATTAACCTAATAAACTTGTACGCCATGTGCTGGCGGCGTAACAGATTCCTCATGTCGTCCCGAGGGTAGAGGGAGCAAGAAGAGACTATGTGATTTTTTATAGAAAGCGGAAAACAACCTGGCGCAATTGACCACGTGTGTCACTACCGCTGCTCTTGAACATCTGCAAAACTACAGGAATTGCAGGTGCTTTGTCTGCCATTAAGAAAAGAGTAGGTAGAACTGTTTTCTCGAAGGGCTCTAAATCTTGGCCCGAAAAAACCAATGGTGACAGTTAAACAATTTAAGCGTAAATTACACAATTTACTGTCGCATTAGGATCTCATGACTTCCGACAGATAGAAGTAAAACCATTATTTTTAATAAAAATGGGAAATTTTTACGTTATAGAAAACCCTCCTCACCACAGGAAAGACATATTCTCCAGTAGTACACATTTACGGACTTCTAGAGCAGAATAATTATACATAAATCATTCGGCAAATTTTCATGATTTCCTTCGAAAAGAGATAGAAGTTAAAAAATGTAAATACTATTTAAACTTTCGGTTTTAACAAATAATAATTTCATTTGGAATATTAATTTTAAGAAATGTTTTATAGTGTCGAGGAGGCCCATTTCATAAGTCATTTCATCGATAGGATCGCGTCGTGGTCAAATGATTCGAGGCTCATTCAGTCCGGCCGGGAATGGCTCAATGACACGGAAACTGCGTTGATACACAGCGATAAACAAAAGACCGGCTCGTCTCTACTCACTGACATAATCTAGGCAGTGCTTCCGCGTCATACACAACACTATTCATTTATTTAACTTTTCTCTATATACTTTTTTCTATGTAGTGGATCTGGAATATATTATTTACTACAATAAGCAATATTAGTAAAATACGTGAGCAGCCTGAAAAAAGCCTAGGGCACAGTCTCGATTCTGAGGGAATTTTGAAGTAGAAAATTCGCCGTGCTGGCCCGATAAAAGACAGACTTCAAACGTCTTAAGGTTCTTAATGTGTTAGACATGGAAGATTTTTTGCGACGTTTTCCTTCACCGCAAAACACGTGATAAATCAGTAATTAAAATTTCCATTAATAATTTCATTGGTACTGGCAATGAAAGAAATATGTTTTCTCACGTACCACGAAATTTTATAGGCAAGTACGTACCACGTAGTCAAATAAAAAGCATTGAATGTGATAATAAACTGATATTTATCGTTTTTAACTTTCCGCTAAGTAAGTTGAATATTTTCAAAAATAGGGAAGTTATTGGTTATCTAAATATATGAAAAATGCATGTATAAAAGACTTATGAAATTTTGTAATAAATATCATATTATATCAAACGAACAGTACGGCTTCCAAAAAGATAAATCTAAAACTTTGGCGATTATATCACTCTTAAAAGTAGTACTGTCAAATATCAATAATAATAATTTTACCACGGGACTATTTTTTGACTTATCTAAAGCCTTTGACCCAGTATCACATGACCTATTGTTACAGAAATTAGAAAAGATTGGAATTAGAGGACCTACACTTCAGTGGAATCATCATATTTTTATAATAGGCAACAATGTGTCATTGTTACTAAAACAGATAGTAGTATAGTATATGGGGACATAATACCGTACTCGTCCGAATACCGGAAAAATAAATATGGCGTTCCACAAGGAAGTGTTCTCGGTCCGATCATGTTCCTGTTGTACATAAATGGCATTGTCAGTATGACGAAGCATAAGTGTATTCTATTTTTTTAACATAAACTCGAGATTTTGCAACATAATTTGGTGAAATTTGGAGCGCTTTGCATTTGAAATTAGCGGGAAGTTCCAGGGATGGCCTGCAGGGTCAACCAATTTTTTTTCTAAGCAATGTCTAAATGCCGAAGTTATCAAAATGTGTTAAGGCCAAAATAAATTATTATTGTTATAGCAAGGTCCTTATAAAACCTCAAAATATAACAGCGCTTAAAATGAGCATTAATTTTATAACTTTATGATGTCAAAGATGCTGTAAAGTACGCGACGATTTATTTCCATGAGGTATTTATTGCGTATTTAGAGGAACAATTAATATCAAGAAAATCTTTCCAAACTTGACACCCTTCTTGAATAAATAATAGATTTATATGTTATGAATTCTTATTTTTAATAGATTTTAATGGTATTATTAAAAATCAGAATATTTTAATTAAAAAGGCGTACACATTCCTGTAAATTTATTAATGTCTAATTTCGTTCGTATATAAACAATTTTAGCGACTTTTATGTAATAAAAGGTTTTATATTTAATTGCTAAAAATATAGTCATATTAAAATAATGTTTTGAGTAAATTAACATCACACTGTGTTACGTGGTATGTGTGTATACGTTGTGTATGTAGTATGTGTTAATACGTGGTAGAGAAACGTTGCAGCTATATTATGGTGCACGAATGAGACGGCTCGACCGGGGAAGGACCACGCTCTCACAGAGTACCAACGTAAAATAGCAGCTTAATACTGCTGTGTTTCGTATGGTGTGTGTAGAAATCCGGAGACTCTTTTTACTGGAAACGAGGCATTCCATCTTAATCCTCAGGGGTGACAACGCCTCTGCGTTTTGATTCTTAATCGAGGATAAATGTAGATGTCTATGGGCCACAGCATCAACTTACCATCAGGTGGACTGTATGCACGTTTGTCGCCCTTATTATTTAAAAAAAAAACTGATGAATAACACAGATAATAACGATAACACCGTTACTGCTCCTCCCTCTAAAAATACCAAACAATGATACAAAATAACTACAGACAATTTTAAGAGTAAATATAAAAGTGAAATAACAAATATCTTGCCTATGATAAAAATAGAAAATAATCTTCTAACGAAACTTTTAGAAACTGCTGAATATTTTTATAATATCAAACTACTTAAATTAAAAAAAAATGTCAGATATTGAATAGAATATAAAAAAGATAGGTAGAATTAGGAAAAACTCGAAACCGCCACTGTTAATAATGATTAAATACATAAGTAAAAGAGATAGTCTTTTATAAAAAAAATCAAAGCAAAGTTTAGACAACAATACTACAATATTCTTCAATATTTAATTTTCGATCTGATAGTAAATTCTTTTGACATTATTCAGATCTCCTTTCACTTGGTTTTCGATTTCAATTCAAATAACTTTCGAAAGAAGAACAACGAGATTAAAGGTAAAATAACTAAAAAATATAAAAAATAATACTCAAGAGAGATACTCCTTAAAGTACGAATTTTAAGCAATAAAATTTTTCTCGAGGAAATCAAAATGTTCTATCTCGTAAATAATGTTATTGAAGTATTAGAATCTTACTTATCTTAGAGCCATTACTTACCACATGAAACAAATATTACTGATGTCTAGAACATAAGATTTACTTAGTTATTATGTACATATGCGAACGCCAGGAATCGATTTATGGAAATAAAACGCTCAAAAAAAAGGAAATTGGAAATAAAACATTGAGTGAAAGGCGAACGACGAGGGAGGTCAGATCGAGGGAGAAGTAATGTTCTGAAAATTTATTAATTTGCATTGTTACATTTATGATAATGAATTGAATGTAAAGTATCATTTGGAATAAACAGATATTAAAGAGTCACTTGTAATAATAGATATATCTACGTTGATTTGCTTCCCATCAATATAGTGGGGTAGATCATATTTATTATAGAATAAGGGTGACATACGAGCACACAGTCCACCTGATGGTAAGTAGATGCAGCGGCCCATAAATGTAAAATAAATTAACAACATAATACAATACAAATGCAGATCCGTTGTCATCCCTTAGGACTGAGATGGAATGCCTCGTTTCCAGTAAAAAGGGTCTCCGGTTCTCTACACTCACCATACGAAACACAGCAGCATTAAGCTGCTATTTTGACGCTGGTATTCTATGAGAGGTGGTCCTGCCCCGGTTGAGCCGAACCATTCGTGCTGCAACCATAATACAGTTGCAGTATGGCTCTACCACTGTAAAATGATGGATAAATTCTTACAATAACGCTTTTGAAGATACTTAAAAGTAAGTACTACTTAAGTACATTTATTCCAAATTTTGCTAATCCAATTAACCAAGATTAAATTTATCGATTTGGAAAAAGGGAAGATTTTAAAATAATCCCATAATATTTTATAAAAACAGATTAAAAGGCAACGGCTAAAGCTTGAGTGGGGAGCATCTTCCCCCCTGTAATCTATGGAGGAGGCCTATGTTCAGCAATGAATTATTGTATAGGCTGTAATGGATGGATGATGGATGTCTTCACCAATTATAAGCCAGTAATTGACTTGACTACTGTCCCACCCAATAAGTAAAGTATAGTGTAAGTGTAAAGGTATGTGGTAATTTAGCCGAAAATAATTCCATTTCATTCATTCCATTCATCCCTTCACAAGTCTACTGCTGAACATAGGCCTCCCCCAAGGAATGCCACAAAGCACGGTCCTAAGCCACCTATATCCATCGACTTCCTGCATGTCTTACCAGGTCGTTACTCCATCTAGTGGGGGGTCGCCCTACACTACGCCTACCGGCACGAGGCTGCCAGTCGAGAACCTTTTTTCATCGGTTGTCGGTTCTTCGAACTTTAAGGCATTTGCCACTTCAGCTGCTAACTATTTACTCAAGGTCTCTCTATTACAAAGTTTAAATATTTTACGAAACAAAACCTGTATAAAAAGGGTTATTAAAATAAATGAATACATGGTTGATAATAACCAACTAAAACTGTTTCTAAAATAAACTTTGTAAATAGTTTGTACAACCTTTCATTTTGTAAAATTTACATTTAAAAAAAAGTCCCGCTGGATTTCTTGCTGGTTCTTCCCAGGAAAGGTGTTTTTTCCGAAGCAGTGGTAAAGTCAAAAATAACTTAAGTAACTCAGTCGGAATTAGATACATGTTATCTATATTACAAAAAAATCTATTCCATTCACATTAGATAATTTGGTAAAAAGGCACTCCTTACCAACGTATTAATTTAATCAATATTTAAACGTATATTATTCGGATATATTTCGAACGTTGTAATGAGTTTCAAGTACAACATAAATTTCTTGCCGAACTCGATAGTGTCCATCAAAAAACGGCGGTGAAAATTATTCAAATTTTCTTCCAAATTTCTAATTCCTTCACCGCCAAGCGTTATAACTTAGGGAAAGAAATAATTAGAGGCGATTATAAACTTTGGTTTTACTAAAGAATTATAGGATATATTTAAATTCTTAAGTAAGAGTAAAACCTAATTGCAGAAATATTTAAAAAATCCAGGATGAAGGCTTTTTTTAAATTAAAAATTAGAAATTCACAAGATATTTAACAATTTAAAGATACAATACCAAAAGTAATCTTCTATAGACCAACGTCTTAAAAAAAAAGAAAGAATCGAGCCTTGTTGATATGTACGAGTATGTTATTCTTTGTATTACTCTCAACGCAATAATTCATTGGAGGCCCCATATGAGTACTGGTATATCTAAGTCTGCAAACAGACTAAGCACTGCAACATATACTGTAAAAAGGATTAAAAGTCTTACCAGAGATAAGATTGGTTTACTTTTCAATTTCTCAATTATGAATGTATTAATTTTACTCGCGAAAACTTAATGTACGAGTATATTAACAAAAGAGCTTTTAATAAAATAAGATATATGTACATTCTGTTAAGCCAAGCTAGTGATACCAGTTACTTGAGTCCACATCGTCAGTTGTTTATTCATGGGGCAATGAATACGCTTTCAGAACAAAGTTTACATAAGTGCTAAAGCTAATCTGCAACTATATTATGGTTGCAGCACGAATGTGGCGGCTCGACTGGAGAAGGACCACGCTCTCACAGAATACCAGCATAAATTTTTCTTTTTTTATAGGACAGGATCACAAACGAGCACACAGTCCACCTGATGGTAAGTGGTTGCTGTGGCCCATAGACATCTACATCTATCCTCGATTACGAATCAAAATGCAGATGCGTTGTCATCCGTGAGGACTTACGTGGAATGCCTCGTTTCCAGTAAAAAAGAGTCTCCGGTTCTCTCCACTCACCATACGAAACACAGCAGCATTAAGCTACTATTTCAGGCTGGTATTCTGTGAGAACGTGGTCCTTCCCCGGTCGAGCCGACCCATTCGTGCTACAACTATACTACTAATATAACTGCAGCATATAGCAATATATAAAATAGCAGCTTAATGCTGTTGTGTTACATAGGGTGAATGTTAATAGCTTGAGACCATTTTAAAGGTGACGAGGCTTTTCTTTTGTTTCTCAAGGGTTTCAACGCATCTGCATTTTGATTCTGAATTGGTAATAGGTGTATATGTATATGGGTCACAGCACCCACTTACCATCAGGTGGCCTGCTTGCTCGTTTGTCACAATGATTATATAAAAGAAAGTTCCTGAAAATAGACAAGGCCTGTTTATTACCAACTTTAAATTTTTTAACGAAAACTGCATAAAAAGGTTTTTATATCATTGAATACAAGGCTTAAAATAAATAACCACTAGGAATAAATTGATGGTTTCCAAGCTGTATATTAAATGAGTTTTTGTTATTAAATGTACAACTTGCGTAAATTGAAAAGTTAATTATACATTGAAAAATTTTACTATTAAAAAAATAGTCCCGCTGGGATTCTTGCTAGTTTTTCCCAGGATAAAGGTATTTTTCGAACCACTAATAAAAGTACAAATAAAGACTCCCAAGAAGTATTATTTACAAACAATATTAAATAAAAAATATACTATTCCTTTTAAACCTTATGAACAGTTTCAAATACGTATGTCTAAGAACTTATGTATGTTTTAAGCTTTTAAAATTAATGTACCATATATTACAATATATTTACTGAATTTACTACGTATTTATATTTACTGTATTTGACTACGAGCATTTAGTAGTAGCTCACGGGGATAAGTACTAGCTCTGGAGTTTCCTAGCACGCAAGAAACACGAGTTCAATCCCTGCTATCGTCAATTAAATTGTCTTTTCTCAAACATATACTCATTGGACATTGCGGCAGAGGCAGTCTGCTTCTAAACTATTTCAGAAATTAGAAAAGGCTTGTGGGACGTACATAAGTTGTGATTTCGTTATTTGAAACATTTTATGTGCATAGGTATTTAGTTTTTAAAGTTGCTAGAAAAATATTTTCGTATGATTGGAAAGGAAAATAGTTTGAACCAAAAGAAATGGAACAACACCGTACACGGTAACCTACAAACATAAACACGCTATCGTGAACTTTTTCTTGGCGCGCTGTTTTAAGGTCAACCAGCACTCGCGTTATAGGGTTAAAAGACCGCGCCCGCGGTGGCGGATTACCCCATTAGTCGGGAGCCACTCCTGCCTCTGTAATTTGGGCACTATTTACTTCGCACGCAGTTTCGCCACTACAATAAATACGGCGTGATCGATACAGATGTGTTTGATTTTGTTTTTAAGGGTGTCAAAGGAGATTCGGTTCGTTAACGCGACTTACGCAACGCGATAGGTCGCGGAGGTGAGACGTGACAAGACTCAGACAGCGTGACACAACTCGAGCGACGTGATGCGTGTCGGAGCTTTCGGCGAACGAGTGGCCGCCGGTTTGTACCGCGAAAGCGAGTGCGGAGGGCGGCGGCCGGAGTCGCACTGGCCGCCACCCCCGCACGCCGCGCAGGCGCGGTGCCCCACCCCCGATTGATGTAATATTTATCTTGGATTAAGAACTGAATAAGACAACACATGCTGTGACAGCTAAATTAACACCCCTTATCAAATCTTAATACTTTTCTTACTAACTACTTCTAACCTCGAAATTGAAGTTTCAATTGGCTAGAATTATATTCTTAACTTAAATAATAAAGTAAAAATGTGGTTTGTAGATTTGATTAAGGCTGGGAGGCTTGGTCGGATCAATCGGGCGCGGTTCGTGTGCGTTCGGGCGCGATCGACGATGACGTCACAGCGGACGCACGCGCGCCGACAGGTGGGCGCAATGCGCCGCGCCTATCATATCATCTGATTATGACATTTCCTATTAGATTCAGCTGCGATCGCAACCGCTGCATATTGGTTTCAACGACTTCATCAACGGCGATATGCGCAGTTATAATATAGGGTTCATAATTGCTGATCTATAAATACCATTTGAATTTTCTTTTCGAGTATTATTTAGCAATTATAATTTGATAATAATATTTAGGCTTATATTTAAATATTTTACCTTACGTAAAATGCGAACAAGACTAATACGAACAAGACTCAGAAGTAGCAGAAAATCCATTCTAACATGCCGACCGTACATTGTACAGGCTAAAAATTTAACATTAAAAAAGCAAAACCAGGCATTAAAAACCTAAAAGGAATGAAATAAGCTTCGGAAGTCGGTGCTTAGACATTGCGTACATTTATAAGAGTAATTAAATGCGTATATGAATAATTAAAGCTGCCCACTCCCAGATTCAACTATTGTGTTTTCTCTTTAAAGTGAGTTTGCACTTTTTATTAAAAGTTTAATTTTTAACCCTTTTGCGGCCTGAAGGTAACAACAAAGTTTTTTTTTTTATATAGGATCTAACATGCGGCTCAAGTATTGGTATGTGTTGACCGTCTACCATGAATAACTGCAACGCCAGGGGAATTACAGGTGCATTTCCGAACCTTTAAAAGGAGTAAGCTCGTTTCTCTCCAAGTCGTAATGCGAAGAAGAAAGATCCTCGTAAATCACACCGTTATAGACTTCCAAGCATCTAGCAGTATCGTTAGGTTTGTCACGATGTGTTTTGGTTGAATTTGGCGGCTGGAATTAATCCGAATATTCCTCTGAGCACTCGTGTAGTACATGCGGTACATGCAATAGTAAATGCAAAATTACGTCTAAATAGTTACATAAGAGCTTCATTCCTATTTCTACACCCTTTTTTTTTTTTTTTTTTTTTGCATGGGGAAATGCCTACGCATACCCGCCTCGCGGGGGCAAGGACGGGTTATGTCGGACTCGCACCGACTAAAACCCCATGGTGTTCCACCTTTGTCGCATATTGGCAGGGCTACGGGAACGCTTTCGCACACATCCGCGGCCCTACTAACGCCTGCCGCCCCATGGCAGCACCTCCTCGGGAGAGGAAAATTCCTCCCCGTTCTCCTTCCCAGGTAAGGCGCACCAGAACACATGGCGCGCCTTCCTCCACGGCCTCCAACTACGTCTGTGCAACAGACGCCCCCGCGTCCGATGCACAAAGGCCATGGGGCCAGGAAAAACGAGCACTTAGAAGTACTAGCCTTCCCGACCCCAGCGGCGGATCTGGTCTATGGCTCCGCCGCCAACCAAGATTCGGCTGCGGAGGGTAGGGAGAGCGGCGCCTCGCAATACCGACAATCCTCTCCCCCCGCAGCCCCACCACCACCGCATCAACGGTGCGGCCCCGTTTGAGTCGCGAAGGATAGGGCGAGTGGCGCATCGCCATACCAACACTCCTCTTCCTCCGCGACTCCACCTCGACTGCAGCGGTAGAGGGTGCGCGAGTCCCCACTCGCTGCAGTCCACCAGCACACATCCGAAGTGGGCTCCCCAAGCCCACTCGGAGCGGCCACCTCAGGCCGGCCCTTCACCTCGGGCCAGCCACGTGGGTTCCCTTTGTTCACCGTGGGAGACCAAGTCACGGCTACTAAGCCCCCCTGCCACGACAAGGCGGGAACCCGTTCGGGGGGGGATTTCTACACCCTAAGGGGAAGAAATTTTTCGCCAAATTTAGAGCCGCCTGTAAAGTATTAACAATCAAATACTTTGAATCCACAACCTTTTTCTTTCGAAGTCGGCTAATATTAGAAAACAATTAACACATTTTTGAGAAACTTTTAGCCAATACTAAGCGGAAAAACAGCTGATAACGAACAACAAACAAACATCCAGCTTCAACTCATACAACAAATGCGATAAAACACAGTCATAAAAGTTATATGGAGAACCGAATAAAATATTAGCACAGCAATAGATTCTATTTATTCTATATTGCTTCCCCGTGAATATTGCCTCGTTAAAGCTTCAAAACCAAACAACAACAAAAATTAATACCATCCGGAGCTGGAGCAGATCAAAGTTTAAAATTATCGCGCCGCCGCCGCCCGCCCAACGTGATCGGGACGTTTATAGCCAGTATCAATTTTGACACTGGTCTAAAACTGTCGAATTTTTCAACAGTTCTGCCTTTGAAGCGATATTTTTTTTATGGAAAAGGAGTCAAACGAGCACACGGCTCACCTGATGGTAAGTGACTACCGCCGCCCATGAACAACCGCAACACCAGAAGAATTGTAGTTACGTTGCCGGCCTTTTAGAAAAGAGTAACCAATTTTTTAAAGGACCCTAAGTCGTATCGGACCGGAAAAACCGCCGGTGGTAAACAATTCCACAGAGAAGTTGTATAAGGAAAACGCACAGTGGTGGATCACCAAGCATCCAGATGGTGAGGATGGTATCGTGAATTTTGACAGGATGTGCGTTCGTGAAATTTGATGAGAGGTCAGCAGAAGATCTAACAGGGAAAGTGTTTGATCTTCTATAGCTGAAATCCGCGTAGGCGAAGTAACCAGTTGTGTCAAACCATATGCCAAAGAAAAAGTCATAAACAGATCTCCTCGCATGATCTGTTAAACTTGAATCGAACCATTCGGCGTGGTGGGCGTTAAAATCGCCAAGGATCACGATCTCTGCGGATGGGATTTACTGTAGCAAGTTATATGTAGAAATTTGAACGTGGTCGATGAGTCGGTCTGCTTCGGCATTACCCCTATGGGATCTATAGATGCACCCGGCAGTGTTAACGTTTGAATGAAGTCCCCCGAATTTGCAGAAATTCACGGATAGCGTGATAGAGGTCGCCTTGGTCTTATTGCTCCGCTTGCTCCGGGCGCCCCCCCCCCCTAGAAGCATCAGGGACAGCCTGAGCACCAATTCTCGGGAAGAGTAGGATAGCTTGGTCGTGGATGCTGAGCGGGGGATTCTCCGTCACCAGGGGTGCTGGTACCCTCCTGGGGTGGTTATTTTAATTGATTCCGCTACCATGTTAATGGGGGGAGGGGGTTTGAGCCTCCGGCCACCTGCACTTACCAAGTGAAATGCAGAGATAAGTCTCTACTTCAATCTGGTATATCTGTAAGATCTTCGTAAGACGGTATCACGACCTTACAGATATACCAGGCCCATCCGTACGACAGCTAAAGCTGTCGCGTGGCTCCACCACTGTTGAAAATGTATGGAAATGTAAAGGAATGTAACAAATAAATTTAAAAGGGAAACAGAAATATCAATGCATTCTAAATTTATCTTTGAATGAAATAGGAGAAAAGAATTTTCCTCAGTTTGGGCTGTGACGGCATTAGAGGCGGCTGATTGTTATAATAACTAAGTCCCCTTGTTCATCAACTGTATACGAGCCGCTTCCATTGTAAAAAAAGGATTTGCCTCAATTGTCACGCTTGGAAGACGGATCGAGGATCAGAGTACCATTTTTACATATCTTTGACGATGCTCCCCGTGACAGGGCTGGTTATCTTACGCCTTTTTGTTATTGTAAATATTTTATCTTATCTCAATTGAGAGTGGGTTGAATAAAATATCAAAAGCGTTGTTATTTCTCCAATTATTGTCCACCCACAATATTAAAAACCACAGTCATAATATGATTCTATTTCATCTTGGTATTCTTGTGCTAGTGTGGTGGTGCGAGCGACCTAATCCTTGCTGTGGCATAATGCTCTGCAGAATAATAACTCTTAAAAACGGTGTCTGACTAACAATTTACCTGTACCGCTATTTTTGATAAATATATAACACGTAATATTACTTAAAATTTAACTGGAAATTCATGTATAAATCCCTCAAGATTATATGGTTTCGTTTGAATAAATCTTTGATGATACCCATTCGTAGCGGATTCGTAACGATTGCTCGATCTAAGCAGTCGTAGACGTGCTACGAATCCTACGGAGGACGCCTACGTGCTACGACCGTTGCGGTTCTACAATACTCTACCCGTTTACCTTTTACTTTCTGCTTTTACATGTTTATGCAATACGTGCTTCAATTTATGAAACAGAAGTTGTCGAATATAAACGTGACATTTTAAATAACCACCGATTAAAATATATTTACATTGCAAAACAAGAAATCAAAAAAATCCTCGAGTATAAGCATGACTAGCTGCGAGAAATATACATTTGATCCATTCCTTTTTGTACAAGGAGCAACACCATATATATTTTCGGGATCTTACTACTCATAATCTGTTGCTAATTTCTTCTGTTTACTACGAATTAGACAAAAATATGTTTTTACAGATTATTTTTAATTTATTCTACACTACAACAACAAGGCAATACAAGCACTTTACACTGATAACATGTCGTTAGTAACTTTCACTTTTTATCAGAAGTCCACGACTGGATATACTGAGCGCCTATAAGGGAAGATACGACGTAATCGCCAGTCTAGATATTTTACATTTAAGATGGTATACTGCTATATATAGTCACTACGCAATAATAATGATAGGACTCGTAAATTTATTTCTATTTTTAATTTGCTAAATTGGCATTGACTTTGTGAATAAACAACCATTGCAAACTTATTAATACTCCTCAAACCAGTGTTTCTTACCTTCTCTCGCGCCGCTGCTCCTGGTCGTATCTGAGGGGTACCTCACCCCCGCGAGATAACAACAGTTGCTATTTTTTTGTATACAATGGCACTCCAGCCCACGCCGCCTAACATATTCTCAACGAATCCGGACATATCGGTGTCGGTAGATAAAGAATCTTTGGTAAATATACGCAAACGTAAGCAACCGGAATGCGAAATTGGAGAAGATGCGTTCGCGTGTTTCGAGCGTAGGTTCGAGCAACAGACGAAATTATGGAATGATAAAATTTTTAACAGTATTTCTGAAGCTATTAACTCGGCATTAACCAATCAGCTGTCAAATATTACCTCAAACTTATTTCAGATTAATAGTTGTTTAAAACAATTGACAGACGATAACGACATAATGAAGAAATCGCTATCTGAAACAAATACACGTCTCACAGAAATGGAGAGATCTTTTAGCTGTTCCTCTCAGATACATGACTTATTTGATAGCCGGTTACAA